AGTCTGAGGACCACACGTTGAGCGACACGGGTGTGGACCCCGTGTTTGTCGGAGCTGGCAGCCATGTCGTTGGCGCTTGCTTACCGAGAGCTGAGGTCCTCTGTCACCGAGGGCCACGATTTTCCACTCTTGTTCTCATCGCCTTTGATCCCACCTGGTCTCAGTTTTGCTTGTGTCTCTGCCCCTGTTGCACAGGTTACGGGCTGGAGGTGGACATGTGGGCTGCGGGGGTGATCCTCTATATTCTGCTGTGTGGCTTCCCCCCATTCCGGAGCCCGGAGAGGGACCAGGAGGAGCTCTTTAACATCATTCAGCTGGGCCACTTCGAGTTCCTGGCCCCGTACTGGGACAATATCTCTGACGGTGAGATGTGGGGCTCCCCCAAGCAGGAAAGGAGGGGATGTTTAGCCGGAGCCCCTCCCAGGTTCTGACGTCAAAGCAGGTGTTAGGTCAGATGTGTGATGAGGTACACAGCACCTGGCACCGACGTGGGCTGTTGTCTACCATGATTCAGCCTTTATTTTCTGCTAGCTTCATGTAGATTTATGTGGCACTTCGGAAACATGACTTGGTTTTGAGAGTTAATGAAAAAGTCTAACTACCAGTTTACTCATGAATTACCAGGGGTCCTGTGGGGCAGACTGGAGCCTGGGGGCTCTGGAAGGTAAGGGGCGAAGGTGTGTTATTTTTAGCGGAGTAGAAGTATATATGGTCTTCCTCCTTTTTGGCCTTTTCACATGGAATCTATCACCTTGTTCCTACTGACTTGTCTGCACTACCCTCTGTCCATATAAAACTGAGAGCTAGATAATTGGGGGTTTTGAGTATTTGAGTCTTTAGCTTAAAAAGTAGAATAGGAATGATTACTCCCCCCCCAACCCCCACAACTCCAATTTCCCTTAAATGTGTCATCTAAGATTAGTTATTGAACTACCCTCACCCCTAGCCTCTGTCTCCTCACTTGGTGTTGGGGGATGATGGAAGGGAAAAGCTTCATTTTTTTCCCCTTAAATAAGGTAGAGAGAGGGGGGCTTGTTGCAGGTAGAGTGAGGGTCTTGAGTTGATCAAGGCAGTGGCAGTTTGGGGATTCAAGGACTGAAAATAATTCTAGAAAGTTCTATGCAGCAGTCCTTAGAGTTGGGCATGGGTGGCCCCTGCCCTGGGCCCAGGCCTTAGAGGACCCTGCTGTGGTGACACCCCTCCCCAGAGTGATGGACCAAGGGGTTGTTCCTCCCAGAGCCCAGGCCTCCCCTTCTAGGCCACTTAATCAGGACCCTAGAATTCCTTTTCCAAATGGCCCAGGCCTACTTCCAAGATTGGCGAGGCCTCTTTTCCCAGCCTCTCCCAACAGTGCCATAGGGCAGCCGAGGAGATGCTGTTTGGGGTGGGGTGTCCAATTGTCCACATGTGAGTCTGAGAATTCCCAGTTTAAACCTGGCCTTCTACTCCTGAGTCCTTTGAGGACCTTGAAGGAGTGATGCTGGTGGGAGTGGGCTCTGGGGCACTTTGTGGGCAGAATTTGTGTGAGAAATTCTGTAGTTTCGGTGCTGATGGTGTGGCTGACATTGGTGTAGGGGAGGGGTGACTGGGGGTGAGCAGCTTATCTGGAGAAAGAGGCAGCCCCCAATAAAGGTCAAGAGAAGTGGGTGTTCTTTTTGTTTTTTTCCCCTGTGTTTTCTTGAGTGATTGGAAGAGAAGGCTCAGAGAGCCAGCCCGGGAGAGCCAGCCAGCCATGGAGAAATCTTTTCTCCTCCCTGCCTGCCACCTGGCCCCCTTGTTGTCACACATCTTTCTAGAATCAGTCATGGTCTTGGGCAGAAAATAAAATTAATTTTGAACTTAACACTATTTACTACTTAGGTTTCTTTATGCATGTTTTTCAGTGTTGTCAATATGAAGGCATATTTATCAACTTAGGAAGGAAGATGGAACCTATTTTATTTAGCAACTTGATGGTTTGATTTACAGATTTAAAATAGGCAGACATATGGTCTGTGGCCTCCATTTGTTCTCTTGCACTGGGCGCCAGGGGTGTTAGTGGTGGGCCTGGTCCTCTGACTCTAGAGAAATGAATAAACAGCCTCTAGAGATGCTCTGTCCAACAGGGTAGCCCCTTGCTGCATGTGGCTATTTAAATTTAAGTGTAAACTAATGAAAAGTAAATACAATAAAAATGCAGTTCTTCCTTTGCACTAACCACATTTCAAATGCTCAGTAGCCCCAGGTGGGGAGCACAGAGAATGGAAGGTTTCCATCATCACAGAAAATTCTGCTGGCCGGCACTGCCCTGATATAGTGCATGGTGCTAACATGGATGTTTGTGTTCCTATGTCATGTACGGGGAAGGAAAATCCAGAACTACCCGCCTTCATCTCGTTTTCTTTCTTTCTCTCACTTCAACAGCTGCCAAAGATCTGGTCAGCCGGTTGCTGGTGGTAGACCCCAAACAACGCTACACGGCCCACCAGGTCCTTCAGCACCCCTGGATTGAAACTGCTGGAAAGACCAGCACCGTGAACCTGCAAAAAGAGGTGTCCCCCAGCAGCGAGGGGCACTCCCGGAGCCAGCACAAGCGGTCTGCAGAGCAGGCATCATAGTCACCGCCTCGGGCACCTGTCCAGCCCCGGGTGCTGCTCAAGGAAGGAGAAAAGGATAGAAGCCTCTGAGAGAAGCAAGGAAAGGGGCTTCTTCGCGACATTGGAGACTCAGGGGAAGGAGAGATGCTCAGTATATTTTAAAGCATATTTAAAAAAAAAAATCAACTGCAGTCTTAGCATTCAGTGTTGTAACATATTTTTAGATTTGTATATTTGAAGTCTTTAATACACTTGGAGGGGGGAAGCCTTGTTATCCATGAGGGATTTTTGGTAATAATGATGTGTTTTGCTTCCCCTTTGTCATCAAGTTCATGGTATACTACATGAGTGGTACTTATTAGGGTCTCAGCCCCCCTTGTGAGATTAGTAAGGTGAATCATAGTCTTTCTGTGTTAATAAAATATACTCTGAATGACTGAAGTGGGTCGTATTCTGATGACTTCTTTTTTTTTTAAAGATTTTTATTGGGGAATTGGGGGAAGGGGAATAGACAAGTTGCTGTCATTTTGTTTTTTAGTCTAGTTGTGGAGGATGTTGCTTCACTGGCCCAAGTTGGCACCATCATTGCGCTCTTTCCGGGCGAGGCAGATCAGTCACCGGCTTCTGGACGGCCGCTCACTGCGGCTGCTGGCTGCTCACGCTGGCCGCTGTCTACACACGGTAGCCCATGGCAACCCACTGCAGCAGGGGCTGCAGCCCACGCTGTCGCTGGCGACTCATGGCAGCCCAGCTCCAGGTTGAACTGTTGTTCAGCATCTTAGCTGTAGAGGGCAGTGTCACTGGCCCTCATATGTGGGATCCAAACCAGGTCCCACTGGCGTCCCAAGCCAGTTCTTAACCATCACGCCACTCGGCCGGCCCTCTGATGACTTCTTAATGCTGGTGGTGAAAGCAGGGGAATTGTAGTGCAGACCTGCCTCCTGAAGCCAGTATGACTACATAGGAATGTTGTGGTAGACACTTGATTAACGGGCAATATCTGTTTATTTAGGATGAAAATGGCCTCTAGCCTTTTAGTCTCACTGAAAATCAGATTTGGTGCAGTCTGCAAAATGGACAGAAGAACTCATTGATTCATTCTTGCCCCTTCCATACCCATTTCTACTGCTTTTCAGCCAATGATCCCTGAACCTGAGTCACTTCTACATGAAGTGGGGCACTCAGGCTACGACTACGCCAACATTTCCAGATCATGGGGGAGCCATTTAGTGCGTTCATATGTCAGAAGTGCAGTAAGTGGATTGATTACACGCAGGCTTGAAGGAGCTTAGAGCGGCCATGCATGTCCCCTCCTGCGGGGCAGACACACGGAGGTCATGACATACATGTTCGCTGGTTACTGCATTCCAGATTTCTGTTGAAATATTGGTCCTTTCGGATGGCTCTGGGAGTATGTGTGAGCTGAAAGCAAAACCTAATCCCCCTTTTTCCCATGTTCACCTTTCTGGTTCTGTGTGACCTGATCAATAACAGAATCAGCCACACAGTGTGGGATTCTCACCCCTCCCCTCCCTTTCCTCCCAGTGTGGCGTCCTCTGGGTGAAGGGGTGCACGAGTCAGCAAGACATGAGTAACACTGGAGAGTTTAGTAAAAGGAATGGCTTGAACCAGTGTTGGAGAAGGCAGCTCTGAAATAATTTAGAGGTAGTAACTGCAGGAGGTGGCTTCCTATGCTCCATGGGGGCCCAAGGGAAGAGGTGGGGGTGATTAGAGTCCAGAAGTGTGGAGGAGAAGCCCCTTGGAGTGGACACTCAGTGTGCCATCCAGAGCCTGCTTCAAGACTGAAGGGAACAGCTGCCCAGGTGCTGCTGGCTGACAGCCATACGCTGTCACCATCTGTGGAAGTGCCCTTAGCTGGGAAGAGTTGTCTCACCCAGGATCACGACCCCCCTCCTACGGGGCATTGGGTATGGGGCAGGCCATATCCAATGACTGGTCCATGTAGGGTGTGACCAATGGAGACAACGCGGATGGGCCATCCCAGCTCCAGAGCGCCTCGTGGGGGTTGGCTGAGCCCTGGGTTGAGTCCGCATCACAGCCTGACTTCTCCCTCTCCCAATCCTGCTTCTTCCTCTTCCCTTCCAGATGATCCTGAGGTTACTCCCTAATAAACCTTCTGCTTGCTAAGCCCGACCTCAGAGTTGGCTTTCCAGGGAACAGAGCTTGTGATACCCCCTCCCCCTCCAACTTGGAGCTGCTGCAAAGTGGTACCAGCTGGAGCTCTAACCTCAGGGGCTCAGAGGAGAGGCCTGGAGCTGCGACCCAGATACCCGAGGAGAGGGTGCTGCCCAGCAGGCAGTGCAATGGTGCTCATTCTGAAAATGTGGAAAGAGGCTGGAAGCTGGAACCAACTGCTACTGGAACTTCTTTTGATAAAGTCACCAAAGCCCTAAGTCCAAAAGGGAATTTTCATCTTCATGTTAGCGTCATTTGATTCTATCGACTACTCTCCTTTATTTTTTTTCTCAGTTTATTTTTTTAGATGTTTATTAAAATATAGCTAACATACAACATTATTTTAGTTTCAGGCATACACCATAGTTATTTAACATTTATATAAAGAAGTGATCACTGTAAGTCCAGCAACGATCTGACACTGTACCATACTATCACAATATTATTGACTATGTTTCCCATGCTGTACATTACATCCCCATGATTTATTTGGTTTATACCTGGAGATTTGAACCTCTTCCCCTTTTAAAATTTTTAATTATAGATAACACTCAGTATTATTTTATATTAAGTTCACGTGCACAGTATAGTGGTTAGACATTTGTATAATTTAAGAAGTGAGCCCCCTGACTAGTCTAGTACCCACCTAGCATTATACATAATAACCATATTATTGACTATATTCCCTATGCTTTACATCCCCATGATTGTTTTGTAACGATCAGTTTGTACTTCTTACTCTGTTCATTTTTTACACCCTGCCCTCGCATACAACCCCTCCCCATCTATTGCCCCAAAAATCTATCAATAGTACCCATCTGCACCATACATAGTTATTACAATAATATTGACTATATTTCTTATTCTATACCCTATATCCCCATGATTACTGTGTAACAGTCAATTTGTACTTCTTAATCCCTTCCCCTTTTTCACTCATCCCCAAGTCCCCTCCCATCTGGCAACCATCAAAATGTTCTCTATGAGTTTGTTTCTGTTTTGTTTGTTTATTTTGTTCTTTAGATTCCACATATAGTGAAATCTCATTGCATCTGTCTTCCTCTGTCTGACACTCAGCACAATTCCCTCTAGGTCCATCCATACCTCCACAGATGGCAAGAACCCTGCAATGAACATCTGGATGCACACGTCCTCTCAAAGTAGCATTTTGGGTTTCTTTGGATTAATACCCTGAAGTGAGATTATTGGGTCCTTCTTTGTCTGTTCTTATAGCTATTTTGTTTTAAAGTCTATTTTGTCTCATATAAATATTGCCACTCCAGCTTTTTTTCATTTCCATTTTCATGAAATATCTATTTCCATCCCTTTACTTTCTGCCTGTGTGTGTCTTTCAATCTCAAATGAGTCTTTTATAGGCAGCCTGTGTAAGGGTCTTGTTTTCGCATCCAATCAGCCATTCTGTGTCTTTCGAGTGGAACATTTACATTGAAAGTAATTTTTGATAGATATGTAGCTATTGACATTTTATTATTCACAATTTTGATCTTTTTTTCATCTTAAAGAAGTCCCTCTAACATTCCTTGTAATACTGGTTTGGTGATGATGAAGTCCTTTAGCTTTCTTTCTCTTGTCTGGGAAGCTCTTTATTTGTCCTTTGATTCTAAACGATAGCTTTGCTAGGTAGAAGCTATCATTTGGTTATCTTTGGTTGTAGGTCTTTGCTTTGCATCACGTTGAATATTTTGTGCCAATCCCTTCTGGCCTGCAAAGTTTCTGTTGAGGAATCAGCTGACAATCTTATGGGAGCTCCCTTATAAGTTACTAGTTGCCTTCCTTTTGCTGCTTTTAGGATTCTCTCTTTGTCTTTAACGTTTGCCATTCTAATTATAATGTGTCTTGTTGTGGGCTTATTTGGGTTCATCTTGTTTGGGACTCTCTGCACTTCTTGGACTTTTATGTCTATTTCCTTCACCAGGTTAGGAAAGTTTTCAGCCATTATTTCTTCAAATAGGTTCTCAATCTCTTGCTTTCTCTCTTCTCCTGGTACCCCTATTATGCAAATGTTGTTACACTTGATGTCCCAGAGGTCTGTTAAACTATCCTCACTTTTTTGGATTCTTTTTTCTGTTCTGAGTGCATGTTTTCTGCTACCTTGTCTTCTAAATTGCTGATTCAATCCTCTGCTTCATCTAGTCTGCTGGTGATTCCTTCTAGTGCCTTCTTTATTTCCATTATTGTATTCTTCACTTCTGACTGGTTCTTTTTTATGGTTTCTATGTCTTTCTTTTGTTTTATGCTTGCTATCTCTTTGTTGAAGTTCTCACTAAGCTCCTTGAACATCCTTATAACCAGTATTTTGCACTCTGTCTCTAGTAGATTGCTTGCTTTCATTTTGTTTAGTTCTTTTTCTGGAGTTTTCTCCTGTTCTTTCATTTGGGATGTATTTCTTTGTTTTCTCATTTTGGCTGCCTCTCTGTTTGTTTCTATGTATTAAGTAGATCTGCTATGTTCCCCAGTCTTAGCCAGGTGGCCTTATGTAGTAGGTGTCATGTGAGGCCCAGTGGCACAGTCTCCCTGGTCACCTTCACTGGGTGCTCCAGGAGTGTCCCTTGTGTGGGTTGTGTGTATTCTCCTGTTATAGTTGAGCCTTGGTTGCTATTGGCATGTCTGTGGGAAGGATTGACCCTCAGGCTGATTGGCTGTGGGGTTTGGCCACATCCATAGCTGACAGGCTGCTATGAGGTAGGCTTACCCCACTGAGTGGTATTTGCCCCAGAGGGCTCTGGAGCATGTTAAGACCACCCTTTGAGCGTGCCACCTGTGGGGTTAATTGGGAGATGCTCTGAAACTAACCTCCAAGTATATTGGCTCTGGAGCCTCTTTTTTTTAAAAAAAATATTTTATTGGGGAGTTGGGGGAGGGAACAGTGTTGGGGAATCAAGGAAGGGGAACAGACAAGTTGCTGTCCTTTTGTTCTTCAGTCTAGTTGTGGAGGACGTCACTTCACTGGCCCANGTGTGTGTGTGTGTGTGTGTGTGTGTGTGTGTGTGTGTGTGTGTTGGCAGGACAGTAAGATGAAAGATGGTGGAGAATTGGGTGGGGAACTCCCTAAAGCCAGCCCTTTGTGGCGCTGACCCAATGCTACCTTTAATGGGAGAGAATTGAAGCAGTTCTTATGGTAACTGGCTTAAACATTCCTCCAAAGGTGGGGGGTGGGGGCCCCATTTCAAACCCTATGAATAATATTTATAACCTATTTCTATATTGT